GATTGTGTCGAGGTAACGATGACGATGATGAGGATGGCTGGTAGATTTGTTGCAGTTGATGTTGTTTTTGTTGTTGTAGTTGATGTTGATTTTGTTGTTGCTGCTGCTGTTTCAAGATCAACATTTTACGAAGCTGCTCGAGCTTCTGGTGCTGCTTGTCGTTGTCGCTAAATGAAAAACGTAGTGGCTTGTGTGTTTGCTGCTGTTGTTGTTGTTGTTGATGTTGTTGTTGATGTTGTTGTTGAGGTTTTTGTTGATGTTGTTGTTGTTGTTGAGGTTTTTGTTGATGTTGTTGTTGTTGTTGAGGTTTTTGTTGCTGCTGTTGTTGTTGTTTACTCTCAACAACATTGTTTTGTTGAAAAAATGACGAATTTCTTCTCGCCAGAACACGAGGTTGTAGTTGTTGTTGTCGTCGCAGATAATTAGTGTTGTTGTTGTTGTAGATGTTCTTTGAGCATTGTGGTTGTTGTTTAATGTTGTTATTCTTATTGAAGACGTCGTCGTCGTTGTTGTTGTTTTTGTTATTGTTGTTGTTGTCGTTGTTTTGGGTTTCAAAGCTCACTGAATGCCTACGCTGATGTTGTTGTTGTTGTTGTTGTTGATTTTGTAGTTGTTGAGATTTGTTGAAAAATGAATCGAAGTAATCAACGCTGCTAGATTTTTGGTGTTGCAGTTTGAGACGTTGTTGCTTCAACGAACGAGTTGTTTGTGGTTTTTGTTGAAATAGATGACGATGTATTTGTCGCTGCTGTTGTTGTTGATAATGTTGTTGTTGTTGTTGATAATTTTGTTGTTGTTGTTGTTGATGATGATATCGATCACAATCATCATCATCATCGGTCAAGTTCGCAATAAGTTTCGTTATCTTGTCGAAGGTTTCTGAAAGTTTGAATTCGTTTTCTGAATTGTTGTTGTTGTTGTCGTTGTTTTTGTTGTTGTTGTCGTTGTTTTTGTTGTTGTTGTCGTTGTTTTTGTTTCTACTGATTGCGTTTTTGTTGTTGGAAATTAATTTCTTTTGTTTTTCGAATGTTGAAAACTTCATAATTTTGGTTGGTTGCTGTTGATGTTGTTGTTGTTGTTGATGTTGTTTATGTTGATGTTGCTGTTGTTGTGGTTGATGTTGTTGTTTATTCACACAATACGCCAGTCTGATTTGTCCTTTAACTCTATTCAATATTTCAAGACTCATTTTTGAACAGTAAGCATGCAATTGTTGTTTTTGTTGCCCATGTTGTTGTTGATGTTGTTGTTGTTGTTGATGTTGTT